TTTTTTTTTCACAATCGCAATAATTGAAGTTGCTTTTCTCAACCACCGAGATGGTCCAGAAAGGTTCCAGGAGTAGGCAATTTGCCCGAACACTGCCTTTGAGGTTAAGGTGAACGCTTGCCTGTCTCCGACTTTATCAGCTGTTCTGCCTTTATGGCAGGATTGGGCGTTCTAGAGAATAGCTCGTAAGTACTTCTGACTTTTCAAACTTTTTTAGCTCTGGAGAAAGCGGGGATGTCGCAAACTTAACCAGAATGAAAATATTAATTTTGTTAATCGCTCAAAAATTCAGTTATTAGAAAAAGTCATACTGTGATCAATGTTTGATTCAAATATAATAAAACCGTGAAAACATATATTGCAGACCAGATCCTACACGACCTGGAGTTGAAACCGCCAGTTGTGAAGCAGCGCTATTCAAATTTGAGATTATTGGAGTTAGGTGACTACTACATCGCCAATGTATCAAATCTCAGTAACTTGGACTTCTTTCAGAATCAAAATCTAAGAGGTAGGTTTTTGTGAATGATGTGCACAGAGAAAAGATATTAACTTTGCAAATTGCTGTAGCGAAAGCAGAACTGACGAAATCAAAGAATAAGGAGAACTGGATACATAACGTGAAATTTCTCATGAGCAACCAGATGCTTAGCAACTCAAAGAAAATCAATGGGGAGGTAGAAATTGCAAAATTATTTGAGAAAATTTACGGATTTATCTGCCATGGCCAATACCTTCCTTAGTGCAATCTTTCAATTTATAGTTGAACCTACAGCAGTGTAACTGCGTTGAGTACCTGTTGGCTATTGCTAATAACAATGGTCACAGCGAAGCCAGTTGAGCAAATATTGACAAAATCAAAGAGCAAAGGGAACTAACTGCCACTCACGTGAAGGAAAGGAAGAGTTATACTGTTGATTTCCACTTCGTCTTCTTCATCAATAGAAAAGCGTACGACAGATGGACAGACACGCCCGCTGAATAAACATTACGTGATGTGGTGTAAAATCTCCTGAGAAAAGTCAAAAGCACCTAATTTTTTTCATCATCCACTCGGCTACAGTCTGCTTTGCATCAATCAGATCAAGGTTATCCACTATCAGTCTCATAAACTCGGTGATGCGATAATGGAATACAAACTCGACGTGGCCACCACAATTCATCGCTGAAACAGTTGTTTGCCAGCTGAGCAATGTCACCGGCAAGAGTGTGGCAGAACAGAAAAACACAGAGACTGATCAAAAGTACTAACAGCAGCTCGACTATAGTAGACATTTTCTATCAAGTCTTCATAAACTTCAAGTGTCAGTGCAAACAGATGTGAGGAGAAATACGAGTTGATATTACTCATCACTTATGAATGAATGCCGTGTAGCACTGAAGCAGAAAAAGACTTTGAAGAACAAGCTTCGCACAGATCACAGACATCATTCAACAGTCAGAGGATGCAATTAAAAAAGCATTCAAGGATCATTTCTCTCCGCGAAAATTTCCAACCTTGCTGTGAAATCTATGGTCAGCGGAAGTGCGATAGAAACCTGACCAGCATCGCAAACTTTCAAAGGATAGTAATCTATAAGATCCCCCGAACACGACCTTTCAATAATTTGTCACATAATTTGTTCAACAACTACGAGATTCCGTAACATAAACCACCATCTCATCACAACAGACTTTAAACTTTTGATCCAAGAAATTCCAGAACGTACACATTATGGAGTGTTTACTATCGACTACGATTGGAGACCGTATAAAATGGATATGCGAACGCCGGCAAGCAAATATGACCTCCAAATATGGCCTTAACTACCTAACCTCAGCAATAAACAAGGTCAATTGTTTTAATAGAGATTGGCACCACAAATACATCCAGGAAGTAAATTACTATATAAAATTGATTGGTCAATGACAACTCGCATTTTTCAAGGAAATCTGGGAATCGCAGAAATAGAAAATCTAGGTAATGTACTTTCTAATTCTCTTGGTCAACACGCCAGCCAGCTGTCGGTTGTAAGCATGGTCATGCAAGGTATAAATAGGCAATCCCAATACATTTCATATGGTATTACGCACCTATGAGTAAAGATATGTGCACTTTCTCTCCATTCACATTGTTTAAAAACAGAATATTTACATAACGTACGATTTATTGCAAGAAGCAAACCAATGCAAAGCGCCAAAAGTAGATGCAAAATAAGACTAAGAGATCAGATTCGCATAGGAACAGCATACTTAGGGAACCCGTCGATACTGCAGCAAGTCTCTGCAACATCGCAGAGCTAGCAACCACGACACGGTCAGCTGATACACCGCAACGCCGTGCTGACGCGAGGCGGCTCTCCTCTCGAACCATTGATTTGCATACGGCTCGCAAATGAGGCCAGGATGGTTATCGAAGAGGATCCGGGCCTCAAATGAGTGCAGCGACAGGCGGCTGGTGAGCTATGCCAATAATAGGGGAAGAGGGAGGGAGGG